ATCTTGTTCGATGATATTTTTCTTTTCTAAAGTCTTGTTAAAATAATCCATTATTACGTAGAATAAAAAATTCGTATCTGGGTGTCAGGCAGTTTTGCATTCTAATATGAACTCCCTCAGACTGCTCCACACCTTTTCTTTTCATGACCTTTCTGAAGACTTCAGTAAAAAGGTTTGCTGACATGTACCAGAGGTGTGAAGATTAATCAGTGTTGTGAATGTGTGATGGTAAGCTTGCTTAGATAAATCTGAAAACTAATTCTTTGATGAAAAACAGTCTTGGATTCTGTACTGGACAATGCTTTGTCTGCCCTACTAGATCTGTTAGTTTTTTCAAATGTCAGAGCCAGGTTACCAGCGACACCACATACATACTTGGAATTTTTCAGCTTGTATCCTAATTCAGCTCAACAGCTGGGAAGCTGAAGGCAGTAACAGCTACTACGGTGATGCCTGAGACAGGTTTCAGCCAGTGAGTCACACGGTGTGCAGTCAACTAACGTGCCATAAACCAGAACGCGAGATGGTACAGACTGAACACGGGAGGGAGATTATTACATAGCAGGGAATGCTTCCTGGGCACAGGGTGACTCCGAGGAAGTGACTGTGTCTTCCTCGAAAAAAAAGTAGGTGTGGTGATAATCGGTTTACTTTGCATGAGTTGCTGAGCGTATATCTGGCTGTGCAGCGGCGATGGTGTGAATTTCTGACAGGTGCTGGGGGAGCTGTTTGTTCAACTCCCTTCGCGCCGGGACGGGCGCGGTGCCGGTGCCAGTGCCAGGGCGGAGCCGGCGGGGGCCCGGCTCTGAGGGTTCGGCAGCGGCCGGAGCCCCGGGCCCGCCGCCATCTCCTCACAGGTGCCGGCAGGGCCCGCGTCGCGCAGCCACAGCGCTGGCGGGGGTGTGCGGCCCTGGGGAGCCGCGGGAAGGGCCGAAAGCTGCGCGACCCGCGCCCGCGCCGCCTCACGGCCGACGCTGCTGGCGGCGGGCAGAGCGACTAACGCAGCGCCGGCTCCCCCCGCGGCCGGCGCGCCGTGGTGCGGCCCCGAGCGGGGCGGGCCGGCCCGGGCTGCGCCACGTCGGGAGGGCGGGGGGGAGCGCGCGTGCGCAGCGCCCCGAGCGGTGCGGGGCGGCCGAGGCAGGAGGCCCCGCGGGTGGTGCGGGGGAGCCGGGAGCCGCCGGGGTCCCTCAGCGCCGGCCGGGAGCCGCCGGGGTCCCTCAGCGCCGGCCGGGAGCCGCCGGGGTCCCTCAGCGCCGGCGGCGGCCGCGGCGCCGGGCAAGGTGGTGTTCA